ATACAAGGGAGGTGCTGAGTCTTTGGGCACTTGGAGATAACACTGTGCCCACTGGTGCCTGAGCTGGGCCTGAATTTCCCGAGGGAGCTTTTTGGAGAGGGTCTCCTGGAGGATACTGGCTTCATGGAGAAAGTCTGTTTTCAGGATTTAGAGGAACAGAAGATAAAAAACTCTATGTCCTGCACATCTTCAGGACAATTTCTTCTGCTATCTGTTTGTTGTAGCCCAGGGTTCCAGTTCTGGTTTTGTGGTTGAATGACAGCATTTGCAGCTGGATGGAGACAAGAGGACATTAGTTTCATACTTCTCAGCCGGTTTTAGTTTATAGGTCCACATATCTTGTGCTTCCCCATTTTCTGGCTTAACGCAGCACTCTGGGGGCTTGCTACCGGAGTAATAAAAATCTCATTTTAAAAGTCTGACCTTCTTTCCCACTCCCCATGCTCCTTGCTAGGTCTGTGCTCTTGGGGTGGAGGGGATCTTCTGACTTGGGTGATCTCACTAATCTGTTTTGCAGTTTAGCAGGGGGGAACTGAAGGCGCTGAGTGTAGGAGGGGTGGGAAGGAGAAGAGAGCAGGAGACTGAGCAGTTCAGAAAGGAGCCCTTGAACCAGGCGAGCATGTGAAGCTCCAGGGCAATGCCCCCGTTAGCCAAATACAGCCTGACAACCCAGGACAGCGAGTCGCAGTCCCAAAGCCCTCCATGAATCTCTCCTGTCCTGTCGTGTTTGGCTTCTCGCATTTAAAGTCGCTCAGTTGTCAGAACAATTTTTCTCTTGCCTATGCTCCATCTATAATTCATTAAGAAACCCAGAGAGGTGGGTTTTTTCCCACTCTTCCTCCTCTGGAAGGCATGAGCTGAGCGTGGTTTGCAGCAGGACATGAATGAAATTGCTCTGAAACCCATGAGCCAAGGGGAAAGTGGCCGGAAAGGGACACGCTGCCACCTCCTGCTGGGCCACCAGGCCACAGCGACTGCCTCTCGCAAGCACAGCCTGTATGCGCATCACCATAAGCTCAGGCAGGTCTTTGCTCAGAAAATCCTGGACCTGAAGTTCATTGAGTCTTTCAGATCCCAGGCTTCAAAGGTGTTCAGGTCTCAGTCCAAGCAGCTTCTCCACTAGTTAAAACTTACACTCCACGTGCTCCCCAAAGTGGCATCCTGTGTATCTGCTTCCCTCCACATAGAGGTGGGACCAAATTTGTACTTGTCCATCATACATTCTCCTCATCATCAACTCAGGCTGCACTGCCTCAGCTCTGCTTTATCCCTGCAACAGTTGCAAACAAAAATAACACATTATCTACCATGGAAGTGCCGGTCATGCAATGAAATATCTGTTGTTCTGAAACCACAAACATAATTGAGCGTTTAAGCGCAATTTTGAGGAAATGGCTACAGGTGTTATTTGTCATATGGGTTCCAATAATTGCAAATATCGATGTCTAAAGAGCAAAAAGAATTTCCCACAAGAAGGAGAAATTTTATCCAGTATAGTGGAAGGATTAGTTTTCTGAAGTCATAGTGACTTTGAAACATGAACGCAGACTGTTTTCATTTTTGCCATGGATGAAATAACCAGATTTCTTATACAGATGTTCCAAGCCCATTTTTGTTACTCTTGTTTAGAGTTCAGCATCTCCAGGAGTTTGTATGGAAATATCTGTGGAAAGGGTGTATGGAGATATCTCTGGAAGAAATCTTCATCTTACAAGATCATCACATAGCAAAATCATTTTAAAAAAACCCCGAAACAACAAAACCAGTTCCATTGACCATTATTCTGTCTCAGCAATGTCTTTCTGCAAGGTTGAACTGTTTGAGTCTGACAGCCTTCCAGTGGTGGAGGTAGGACCTTTTCCAGCCTGATGGATGAAGGGCCCCTTGTGAACTCCATCTGTAGCAACAGCTCTGTAATATCCAGCTCTGAAGCACCCTCCAAGAGCCACAAATCCCCGTTCCCGAACGGAGAGATTCACCAGGGGGCAGCACAATATCACTCTTTATTGTAAAAGCAGGAGTTAATAATTTTAGCTGTCTGAGAGCTTTTGGAAATTAGCTGCTTGTTGTTCCATCTTTATGATTGCAAGTAAGTTTCTCTTTAAAGCTAGCCTCTGTAGCAGCTCCAAAATCCAAGGTATTGGGCATACATTAATATTTTACAGTCCAGGCATTCACCTAGCAGAATAAGAAGGAGTCCAGACCATTGTGTTTTCATTGTGTCTCTCTGGCAGGTGCCTGCCCAGGGTTGGTTGGGGCAGCTGATGGGTATTAGTCCAGATTCAATTACTTCAGAAACTCTCCTGTGTTAAGGGCACCAGCCTGAGTGAATACTATTTCAGCCTCATCTTTTGGGAGCCATTAAACAGAAGGAGTAAGCCCTCTGATGTCACTACATGAGAAGGGTTCACAGAGGGTGAATGCAGAACCACAGAATCATAGAATGGCCGGGGTTGGAAATGATCCTAGAAATCTTCTAGTTCCAACCCCCTGCTGTGGGCAGGGACACCTTCCACTAGACCAGGTTGCTCAAAGCCCCATCCAGCTGGGCTTTCCAGGGATGGGGCATTGACAACTTCTCTGGGCAAGCTCTTACAGTGGCTCAACTGCCCTCACTGTAAAAAAATTCTTCCTAATATCTAAATAAAATATCTTTCTAATATACCCTCTTTCAGCTTGAAGCCATTGCCACTTGCCCTGTCACTACATGCCCTTGTAAAAAGACTCTGTCTGGCTTTCCTGTAGGTCCCCTTTAGGTACTGGGGAAGGCCAGGGTTTTTTGTTTCATACTGACTTATGGTTGTCCTGTATGCTACACAGCTTCTAGGTCCTCTAGCACTTGCACCAAACTCTTGCCTTTCAAGGAGCTAAGAGGAGTCACTGATCACGTCTTGCCTGCTCAGCTTCCTTTATGGAGAGCTTCATCTGTCATCAGTCCGTTCCTAGTCATTACTCTATTTTACTTGCACAGGTAACTGGTGTCTCCAGTGGTTGCCTCCCCTGGTTCAAGTGCCACTGTACTTTTTTGTCCTTTTCTGACCTCTTTCTCTCAACTTACAGTCAAAGCAGTTCTTGGTCTTTTCCTATAAATTAACTACGTCTTCTGTCCTCGGTCGTTCCCTTTGCTGTTTTGGCTTCTGCCTGGTGGGATGCCTCGTGTCTAGCATCAATCTCACACTTCACTCCTGACATCATATGTGGGTCTCTCTTGACTGTTTCTCTCTGATCTCAGTCCTTTTGAAGTTCAGTCTGAACTCCATCTGCTCCTGTTCATCCCAGCACTTCCTAACTCTTTACTGAAGTCTTCAAAGATGCAGCTTTTCCATGGGGCTGCTCCCCATGTAGCCTTAGCTTTCCTTAGCTCAAATATTATCTTTAAATAAAGGCCAGGAGCCTTAAGAATATATATTTAGAATAAAAGAATAATTTTTCCCACCGTAGTAGCTTATGTTACACTACTTAGTCTTCTGAGAGGAGTATAGTATTGTTCTTCAGGGTAGGTACAAAATTAAGAACTTTGTAGAATTATTTAATATCTTTCAAGGCAGCTCTGTGTCTGCTTTTAAAGGAAATAAATACGTGTTTCTGTTTTAAGAAAATAATTTTTAAATTATTTCTTTTATTTTTGTTTGCCAAGTATTTGCGGAAAAAACAGTTTCTTTTTTCATTTGAATTCCTTTTTATTGCTGGGGATGACTGACGAAGACAAGACAACAAAAATATCTTTGAAAATTCACAAAAAATAAAAGTTGAAAAGAAAAATATTTTCTGTTCAAAGCCCTTAACAAAGGTTTGGAGTTAGTTAAGGCAGCCAGCTGAGTTCTTTGTAATGTTTTCTAAATGATGACTTTTGCCATCTTTTGTTTATTGCTTCCCATTCCCAATCCATGCCATTATCATCTAAAAGAAAAAAAAAAAAAGCTTTTATCCATTGTGGATTTATTAGTAAGAGTTGCTACTTCTTGGAAGGAGTCCAGAAGTATGATCCTGTATGGTCAAAACCAATGAGCCCATTTTATGCAGGAACAGAAATGTCACTTGTAAAGAAAGCCTGTAAAGGGACTTTGCATAACCTCTTCCTAAATTATGGAGAAACTGATACCTTCAGCAGTGCAGAATGAAAGATCTCTTTTTAATTTTGCCATGTCAACAATGTACTACATTAAAATTATGTAAAGAATCCTAGAATGTATTGTATACCAAAACTTATATATCACCTAAATTGTGTTCACCCAGGATGTTTCTCCAGGGGCTGCTCTGCTGTAGCAAAAGCTGTGTTTATTCAAGTTGTGAAAAACCACTTTGTCTACTTTTCTCTGTTGTTTTCTCAGACTCAGGTGGGGAGAAGCAAAAAAAAGAAAGTTCCCTATTGTTACTTTCCAGACATGCTATTAAGAAAATACAACTAGATCTTACCTTCCACAAGAAAGGTTGTTGTGGTATTCCTTTGAAAGACTTAACGTAGATTATTTGCCATTACACTTTAAGACTTGAATCACATGTAGACAGGAGACACTGAGAGGGAAGAAACTGCCTGCTGCAGCTCTCTTTTTGGCTTTTTAAATTTGCAGAAGTTGTAGTTGGTTTTGAAAGCTCACTTTGCAATGAAATTAGCAAATAACACCACAAAATAGATTTCGTTCCTCAAAGTGGGTTTATAAACTTTTTCCTGAAAATACAAATACAGAGATACTGTACCTTTTTTTCACATTGAGATCGTAGATAGGTAGCATCCTCCGTTAATGTTTAGCAAATTTGTTCTATGTCGACGTCAGAAATGTAGCAGAAAATCTCTTGGCTGGCTGGCTTGTACTTGAAACTGGTTTTTTGTAAGATCTGGATTTGAAAATCTCTCCTGCCAGACTTGTAGCTGTCAGGTTCATTATCTTCAAAATTTCTCTTAAGCTCTAATGGTGTTTTTCTTCCTGCAGAAACAGAAGGTGCATGCAGCACAGATGCCAGCCTTCTCCAAGGAGTAACCTCTTCACCCCCAAGTGACACTAGCTCCTGCTAGTACCATGGGGCCAGAGGGTGGTTTCTTGGGCAGTGGACAGATCCACATCATCCTGTGGGGGAGTCTGGCAGCCCTGACAACACTTTTGTTCCTCACCTTCCTCATCTTCCTTTGCTCCAGCTGCAACAGGTAAGGCTCAGGGGCTTAGCACGTGGTAATGGCTCTTGTGTCACTTAGTGCAGAGATTGACATAGCTTCAATAATAACTAGTTAGCAGGAAATACTGAGGACTTAAGTACAGAAATAAAAAAGGTACAGTACAAAATCTTTTTTCAGAGCAAAACTGAATTGGACAGTTCTGTTCTTTCTAAAAGGCTTTTTTTTTTTTCCTTTTGCTGTGAAAGAAGCACACTGTTTTGTTTGCTTGGCAATTTTCCCTAAGATGAAGCCTGGAGCACAGGTGGACACTGACTGTTAGCAGATCACACCAATAAGCTTAAACTGAGAACATTAGGTGGGCTGAACAGGATCAAAAAAGTATAGGTAAAAAGGAAAGGAAAGCAACTTCTATGTATTTCAGTTTTGCTTTGACCATTCCTGAAGTCTAGGGAATTGATCCTGCCATTCAAGCAAAATTGAGGAAGGATCAAATGGTGATATTAATTGATGTCTTATACCTCATACTTATTTTCTTCTCCAAAAGAGGGTTCAATTTCACCAATACAGACACTTCTACTGACTTTGTTTATTCACATTTCAAGGCCCCTTCAGGACACGTAAGCTGAGCCCTGCTGACTGCACTGGGCAGCCTGCATTTCATCCACGGTGCCCTTCCACCAGCCAGACCCTTCCCTATGAGGAGTGGGAGTGCTGTGGTCCATATTGCTGTGCTTTACAAGCATAGCTCAATCAGCCAAGTGTATGGGGGAAAAAAAACCCTATCCATGATTCAATACAGCAGCAAAATCTGTGGTTTGGATGCTTACCCCTATAGGAGCATGTGCTTTCACCCTTCAGCATTGAGAGCGTTGAGGGAGCTGTGCGGCCACTCAGAAGAAATGCTTTTATAAGCCATTAGGCGATGTTTCAGTATCTTCCTATTGCCACAGTTTCCAGTGATATCTGAGTAAAAAATAGTAGAACTATGTATTTTTAATTTATTTAAAAGTAAAAACCTACTTTAAAAATTCTTTAGCCCAGAAACATTGCATTTAAGTACTATGTTTGATCTTAAAGGCCTTTTCCATGATTCTGTGACTAATGACTCCATGATTCTGTGTTTTGTCTTGTAACACACCAGTCCTTGAAACATATCTAGAAAGATGAGTCAAACCACTGAGTATGTGTTTGCAATTAGAGATATACATTGCCAGAAATATTCTGGTGATGTTCTTTTATGAATTCTTGTGTTGCTAGTCTGGACACAGTATCTTTTGTTTCAGGTCATTCTGTAGGGCAGGTTGTTTACACATAAATGCAGTTATGCAGAATTTCTTCCTGGCTTACTCTTCAAAAACGGATGAGAGCATGGAAAACTGAATAAAATCTGTTCTCAAATATTAGAGTCAGAAAAACTTACAGAGAGGAAATTAAGCATTTAACTTTCACTGCTCTGCATTGGTGCAGCCTTACTTGCTGTTTTCTTATTTTCCAGTTAGGTAGAATTTTAACAGTTGCTAATGTCGGAAGTACAGTTCCCTACAGACTTTAGAAGAAGCACAAGTTTCATGTTGCCAGTAATATCTAACCTTTTTACTTGCCTTTTCATCTAGGGGAAGTACTAACATTACTTTAAGCTTATTATTAGAATATTTCTAAATAAGAACTGTATTTCCAAAATTGTAAAAACTGTAAACATGAGTCCTGTGAAGTACCCCATGATGCAGGATTCCTTTAAAAATTTAGAGCTCTGCTGCTGTGAAATTTGTAGGCCCTTTTGAATTGTTCATGCTTATTATTAATTCTAACTAGCATTCTGAGTGGGAGTGGGCTGGATTTTTCTGGCCTTTTCTAATCCTTCATAGAACAAACACCTTTTACTGACACAGTTGAAGGAACTCCCCAGGTAGTCTGTTAGCAAAACGTGTATCTGAGCATTTCAGATATGATTAAATTGAATATAATAATATTTTTATTATCATAGAATAACCTGGATTGGAAAGAACCTTAAAGATCATCTAGTTCCAACCCCCCTGCCATGGGCAGAGACACCTTTCACTAGACCAGGTTGTTCAGAGCTCTATCCAATCTTGCCTTGAACAGTTCTGAGGATGGGGCATCCACAACTTCTCTGGGCCTCTTGTTTCAGTGTCTCACCATCCTCCCAATAAAGAATTTCTTCCTAATATCTAATCTAAACCTACTTTTTTCAGTTTGAAGCCATTGCCCCTTGTCCTGTCTCTACCTACTCTGGTAATTATTTACATTATCTTGTAATTATCAACAGTCACTCCTCACTTTGATCTTACACTGAATGAGAAGAAGCTTTGTGTGTGTTTGTTGTACCTCTTCAGAGGTCATAATAATTTTCAGTTATTCCATTTTCAATATTATTGTGAATTGCAGTTCTGTTCCCTGCAGCTGTGTAAGGTCTATTAATGATTGGCATTCATATATAAGCATAATTTGTAGTAACAGTTCATATGCCTTTTTCATTAAGGGAAAAGAAGGCCAGACATCAGAATGGAGATCATGAAAATCTGATGAATGTGGTAAGTATTTATTTCTGGCAGCTTGTGTCTGTCTTGTGGTTGGTTTGTACCAAGCTCCTTGCAAAATACCACAGATTAGAAAATAACTCAGGAATTTCGAGGAGGTTGAGCAAGGGAGCCTTTAAAAGTTGCAGAACAGGAAGAGGAGGGGAACTTATGTAGATCCTGATAATCTGCACTTTCCCAATGCTCTTTCTTCCACTGTTGTACTCCAGATCTCCTGCCTTTCCTTCACTCTGTTTGCAGCACAAAGTACCCTTTGTTAGCTGTTCCCTCCTCAGGGGAGATCTCTCTGGACACACTTGCTTTTATTTGCTTTAACATCTGTAAACACAGGCACCTAAATCTTTGAGTATAGTTAGCATGGTTTGACTCTCCTGCCAGTAATATCTATGAGTCAGAGCTCCAGAGATCAGAATGAAATTTGTTGCGTATCTATTCACGTGAGCATTTATTCTGATCCTATGGTTAATAATTTGTGTTGCAGCCTTCCGACAAGGAGGTTTTCAGCCATTCCATCACAAGTTCGGCTACAGAGCCCCCCCCAAACAGCGAACAGAACGGGGCACTCAGCAACGGTGAGGGTGAGTAGCGGCAGCCCCTGTGGGTGGGATGGGCGAGCTGCACCATCCCAGTGCTCACAGCTCCCACCTTAGCTGCACACTGATGATCCCCTCCTTAGCTGCACACTGATGATCCCCTCCTTAGCTGCACACTGGTGATCCCTCCAGTCTCAGGTTTCTAGCCGTCAGCTTTCCAAGCACACAGTCGTGCCATTTGTCTGCTCACGTCTGAAGGCCTGACACCAGATCACACAGAACTTATGGCCAAGTTAAAAAATGCTGTGAACTCATTTGCCTTGCTGGTAAGTCGATGGAGATGATCATCCCATGGAGACGATGGTGTTTTGGGCTGCATCTTCACTGCTGGGCGTGCTCTGGGACAGTCCTCAACCCCAGCTCCCAGTCCTCCATGCCAGCCAACACTGGGAAGGTGCTACGGTCCTCCCCTGGGCCACCAGGCCTCAGCCACCAAGCCATAGCTGCAGAGTGACCAAGCCATGAGGCAAAGAATGGCACATTCCATAATCTTGGCAAACTATGGTACTGAGATAAATCCAGAAGATGTAGTTGTACTTTAGAGCTTCAGAAATGCTCCAGGAGACTGTGGAAATACTTCACGTCCTCCAGGAACTACAGTTTGGGATCATAGTCCTGCACTGAGAGAGGCTCTCACTTATATTTTTGTATTTTAGAAAACAGGCAATATAAATAGGGTTCCTTTTTTTTTTTTCTGTCTTTGCTCTGCTGAACACTCAAAATGATTCACTCTGAAGTATCCCTGGAAAATATTTTACTCAGCTGCACCTAAAAATAAACTCACTCTAGCTCAGAGCCACTGGAAGCCAACTGTTGTCTTCACACTAGGCACCAACACCAGGGGCTGCACTCCAAGTTACAGCTCACCTCATCTCCTTCTTTAACTAGAGGCTAAGCTATTCAGCCTTTATCCCTCAGACACAAGTATCCAAAGATGTTTTTAACTTTGTTTTTGCAGCTAATTGCTGCTTCCATCCATTGGCTTGTTGTGTATGTAGGTGTGTCATTCCCAGAGGCACTCGGTGCACAGATCAAAGCCCTGCAGAAGGGAAGGATTTCTCTCTACCATGAGTCACCACATGTGCAGCTGTCAGAGCTGCTGCCAGCCAGCAGACAGTTTTCAGACTGTCTGATATTACTCAGCTTACACTCTGCGTAACATCCCTTCTGAATCACGGGAACCAATGCGCTTTAGTTTCTCACTTATATTTCATGCGCTCTTTTTGTTAATAGTTGTTTTTATTACTGTTTCTGCTGGCTTTTCGAGTAGGGACAGGGCTACGGAAGCAGAACCATCAAATGATGTGTTTTTTTCCTTTACCCAGCCTGCCAGCATTGTCTTACCTATGCCAACACCTCAGCTACACCAGCCATTTTTGTGCTACTACCCATAACCACAGAAGCACAAAAACATGAGCTCTCATTACTTCTGATTATCCCCTCCAGGACAAATGGGGGGTGTGCTGTCTGGGTTCTGTGGTGGTGCTCTGCACATCACAGAAATCCCTGAAGCAAGGGCCAGAAAAGCAAAACATGTTCCAGCTTCTCCAGGATGGTTCCTGACATCCTCCAGAAAATCTACAGTCATCCCGGGCAGTGAGTAGGACGACTTGCCTATCTCCTGTTCCTCCTCATTTTGTATGCTGGAGCTAAGTAAATAAAGGAGGATGTTGTCCTTCTCCCATCTCCCATTCAGTGATTACTATCTTATACCTCCAGTTCCATCCTGAGTTTTGCAGTCTGTCACCTTGCAGTCACCTCTGCAGCACCTTGCAAGTGCTGACCGTATCTGCATGCCCAGAATGTAGAATAAGCAACATCTGTGGCAACTACCAAATCAAGACCAATGATTGCTTTGGCAACACTTTATGTCATCATGTCAAACGCATGGAAGGACATGTTGATTTTGTTGAGTACCATAGGAACTTAACAGTAAAGCTATTGAGAAGAAGTAAAGCTATTCAGAAGTGGTTTTTTGAAGAAATAGTGTGAAGTTCCATACCACACACTACCTGAAACATGCTTGTATATGCCCATGTATACATCCCTGAATGAATGCAAATGTCATACATGTGCAGTGTGGGATGAGAAGCCCCACAGATTTCAGTCCTTAATACCCTCTAGTGATAGTGACACATGGCCTGCTTCTGGGACTTAAGACAACATGTTCTGCCTAACACTACTTTCTGAAGTCTAGTCTTCTCTTTTGTGCATATGGCCAGCTTGTTAGTAGGTTGTCAATCTACATTATGTGCTGCGAGACTAAGAGAATTATGGCATAGCCTTCCGGTGAGGAGCTTCTGGTGTCGCATGCAGGGAGTCTGGCTGTGGCAGGGCTGAGTGAAGTGCAATTCCAGTGAGAATTTGGCCAGCATGTTAAACAAGGTGATGGATGGATCGGGAGGAAGCAAGAACACTTTCCTTTTGATTCCAAAGAACAGGAAAATGGAAACAGGAAAATCTAGCAAGGATTTTTTTTTTTTTTTAAATCTGGTAAGGATTTTTTTTTTTTAATCAGGAAGGATTTTTTTTAAGACTCTTCGTTTGAGGGTTCCCACGTGTTTCCCATCTGAGACTCCTGAGCACTTTGTAGTCATTCAGTGAAACTGAGTACAAGGCATCTGAATATCTGTGCACACTTGCACCTACTCTCCTTGTCCCTGTTCTTACAGTAAATGCTCTTGCCATATAATGTGACTTTGGGATGTACAGACTGTTTTAGATGTTGTGAGAAATATATTTTAGCAGTAGAGTGCAGAAATCTGAAACTTTTTGATAAACAAAAAGCATGATGACTACTAGGCATTTCCAGGCAGTAGTATTATTTATCCTTTCCCATATGTCACAAAAACAAAGTGATGTAGAGAGTACCAAATCGCACTGACCCTTTAGTTATGCATTTGTTTGAAATACTTCTTTGTAATTTTCTTTAGTTCTTTCTGAAGACAGTACAACTGCCTGTATCCAGCCTTATGAAGAAGTACAGACATCTGATCTACTAGATCAACAGGATAGTCTTGGAAAGTCTGTAAAATGTCACCAGAGCCGGGAACTACCCAGTATTCCCCCTAACACCACCATGGAAACCATCATCGCAGCTAGAAATGCAGAAAATGACCAAGGTCTCGGAATGGAAGGGCCTTATGAAGTCTTGAAAGACAGCTCCTCTCAGGAGAACATAGTTGAAGACTGCTTGTATGAAACTGTGAAGGAAATTAAAGATGTTGGAGCAGTAGTCAGCATGGAAGGGAACTGTAACAGCAAATCAAAGACTTCAGTGACAGTGTCTGAAGGTCAGAATCAGATTCCTGACTGCAGAATTGAATCAGCAGAATATGCATCTGTTGACCGAAATAAGAAGAGTCGCCAAAGTGCTAATTCAGAAAGTCCTCTTGACAACATACCAGATGTAGAGGATGAGCTTCCCCCTCCGGTACCCATGAAACTTCTTGATGAAAATGAGAATGTGCAAGAAAAAGAAGTGGAAGAAGAAGTGACAGAAGGGGCAAGTAAACCAGAGAAGGTAAATACTGCAAATACTTGTCCTCATCAAACAGCCAAATAATGACAGAGAATGTGGGTGGGAGAGGATTTTATTTTTTAGTAACAAAAAATACCAAGAAAAAATCCAACATTTAAGGTGATGCAAGACTGAAGTAGGGAAATATAATAGTGTACAGGACAGTCTTTGCATTTTAGACATGTACTCATTCTGTTGCAGCCTATATTTTTGGTTGTTGCAGTTTTGCATTACATAAAGCTTTTCCCAAATGTTATCCAGGAGTTGCATAGGCAGCCTCTGCTTCTTTGTTTAGCATACTTGTGGAAGGTATTACAACGGGTATCTAGTATCTCTGTCAGCATCTATATCTTGTTAAGAATCCCCCTCTTCTTTTTTTCTAATGAAACCACAATTTACAAAAAGGAGAGGGCGGCATCTTTGGTGACTTTAGATGTGCCTCCTTTGTTGGGCCACCTTGACATTGCCATGGGAGTGTTAGGCACCTGCTCAAAGCAACTCTTCTTGTCTCTCTCTGTAGGAGAGAGGGACAGAAAGATTGCAGCAGTAGGCTTTTATATTTGCCAAATCCTGTATGTCACGTATAAACACAGTAATGAATTTCTACCTGCTGAAATCACGGTCTAAAGTTAAGTTTTCTCAGCAGCTTGTTTTTTCTGGCAGGAACGAGTTGTGGTGAAGTCCTTGAAAAATAGAATGATGACATTTTCAAGAATTTTTTTTCCATCTGTAGTTTTTAACCAGAATTCATTTTAAGGAATGCTTTCAGTTCATTGCACAGACCTTTCATAAACTGTTGAGTTTGCATTTTTCAGAACTAGTTTAGATATTTTCTTAATTTTGAATGAAAGAGCTGTGATTATATAAGATTTTTGGTGTCTGAGTCATCAAATAATATTTTGTATTGATGAACATTTCAAAAAGAATTCTTACGATGTCATTTTTAATATAAACATTTACCTGAGAAATCAAAGCAGAGCTGAGGTATTTTTGTTTGTTTCTGGTTGTTCTCTTATTTGAAGTATTTCAGTAATCCAGGCAAAAGGCAAAAAAATACTTTGTTAAATAACTAACTAGCCATGTAACCTGTAAAGCACAATAGTGTCCAAAAAATAAACAGAAGACTACTCATAATACAAAAATTGTTTAACTGGACTCTTCAGTGCACATTCTTAGAAATAATGAGCTCGTCAAGTAAAAAAAAATAAGACATGATTGTCAACAATAATCCACCAACATTCACCCCTCCCAGATTCAGGCCCTAAGTAATTTCCAATTAAACTTTTAGAGAAACAGATTTCTCTAACAGTGACACTTTTCCTACCAGGTGTGAAAAGACTTGCAGAAAATCATTGTGTTTCCCAGTCACTGATACAAAGAGAAAAGCCTTTGCTGCTCTGTAGCTCCCCAGCACACCGTGTATGCAGTGTCAGTAACTGCAAGGAGTGGGAATTGATTAAAATGGTTCAGGTTTTGAAGGATTAATCAAGAGATGACACATGCAGTCCCCTAAGTGCCAGAAAAAAGGTGTTTGTCTAATTAAAATTTATTCAGAGCTGAAGCCATCCCGAGTTAAAGCTTTGGCAGCATCAGATCATTCCCGCGCTTGCTGCTGGGTACATGCATTATGCATCGAAGCGTGTGCCTGTCCTGTCCTTGAGAGCTACAGCTGCAACAGAGTTGGAAATGGTAATTGATGGAATATATAAATGTCATTATTGTTGGCATTGTGTGGGGAGGTGGTTGTGGGATTGTTTTTCTGTTGTGATGATGATAATTTTCCCCTCTATTTTGCCGCTTCAAACAATGCAGAGGAATGCCTGTTTTTCTCCGTGTGGCAACCCAAACCAAGATGTTTATGGAAATGTATGTTGTATTGATAACTCTTTTTAGTTAGACACCATAGGTGTTTCTTTTTGCTTCCTCTCCTGTGGGGCTACTTAGCTGCCCTGCTTAACATCACATCTGTATCCCAAACTCTTCAACCTTCTGCCCTGGCCCTGATGAAGACAGTTTGTGTGTAAGTCATGCAAGACTCCATCACAACAGTTAGGCTTTGCTTTAATAGGGCACAAAGAAGGGACAGCCAGCGAGGCTGTTTGTGTAACCAAGGCTTGTACCTTCCAACCAAGAGAGAACGATCAGATCGTGTCCAAGCTGTTTCAGTCTCACCTTTGAAAAGAGGACAGCCAGGGTGATCCCCAGCCCATGCCAGTTCCCAAAGCACACAAATTTGGGAGAGAGCTAGGTGGACCAAGCCAGAGACCGTTTCAGTATATAACAGCATGAAAAGGATAAAGCATCTTTCTAAGAGCTGGGTGTGCAATAAACAGGTGAAAATTAAGTATCCAAACTGGTATTGGCTGTGACCCAGCCAAATCTTTTGTAAGACTTTGATAAAGAAGGACACCTTTAATAGCACGAGGCTTCTTACAGGCCTCTATCACCTGCAAAACTTGAGCATAGTTCTTCTAATAAAAATAAAGGTAGAATAGTTTTGATTTAGTACTTTCTTTTAATTAAAAAAAAAAAAAGTATGGATCTCCTTTTTCACCCAGATCTCTCCTGAGTGAGCACTGGTAGAAATGCTCTCTGTGTGTACATCTGGCTGCTGCCATCTGATTTCAGCCTTGCACAGCCTGAGGATGGGCAAAGTATCCCTTACAAATGCACCAGAGGAGAATGTTCTTCTAGTTCTGCTGCCCAAGTCAGGAGCAGCAGCTGAGCCAAAGAGTAAAAAATCAAGTGCTGTCGAGGAACAAAAGGAAAGTGGAAGGCAAATGAGGACACATGCTGGGTTTTTGCTGCTTTTGAGGTTTCAGGCACAGTATCACTAGGTACAAAATGTTTAGGATCAAGCGGGGGTTTTTTTCAGTTTCCAGTATAACAATATCCTTCAAAACTGATGTGTCACAGGTTTCACATTTAGAAGAAAGAACACTAGATCCTGGGGAAACAAATACAGGATGGCCAACACCTTGGGGTATTTTTCAGTACTTGAGTGGGAAACTGTAAAAGGGGTCCTGACACATGGTGCTTATAGACACACTGATGACAGAAAGATCACTGAAGAATTTTGTGAGCACATCCTTGTTTTAATGTGTGAGGATGAAATTAGTAACTTACTCCCCAACACAAAAAAATGTCCTGCAAATAAGAAAGACTAAAATGAATTGCTTTAGTGAAGCAGATCTAATACAAGGCCAAAATACATTAGAACTTCTGATATTTTTTTTATGAGTAAACAAAACACAGGTTAAAGAACAAGTTCTCTAGACAGTGAGAAAGAAGCAGGAGAATTTTTCAGCATGAGGGAAGCTCCTGGAGAGCAGCAGGCAGACTTCAGTGTACTTTGGGTCATGGTCCTTGTCAGAAGTGCTCAGGAGTTTGAAGCTTGGTATTTACCAGAAGTAAAAATGCCAAGTAAATGAAAGTAGAAAAGAATCTATCGCAATGAGCCTCTGTGAAAAAAAAAAAGGAAACAAGTTTTGTGTGCATGGAAGCGGTATTTCATTGACTGTGCTAAAAATAGCTCTAATCCTCCATGTTGATTGGCACTGGGAGAGATATGAAGTGTTTTAGGTGGTGAATTTGTGTGAAAGTCCAAAATATGGCCTGTTTCAGTGCTGGAAGGCTCCCTCTGAGTCACTGGGGGGCAGGAGTCCAGTAAAGACTTCTTGCCCCAGGGAGGAGGCACTCCCCACCCCTGGCGTAGCAGCCAGGGTCTTTGTTGCTGTAAAGGTCCTAAGATGTTTTTCATAAGAGTAAAATGCTCTTCCCCCAACGTTTCACGACCTGTTGTCCATAGAACACTTTACATGCTTGAAGTAAGTCTTGATACCAAACCAAGCCCTCCATCCTTCAGTACCTTTGCTTTGTGACCTGGCTCCAGTTCAGGGTGGGCTGCAGCAGGTTCAAGTGGCTGTGAGTTCAGGTTGCTGGGAAGCTCTGCACAGTGCTGCATTCCAGGAGCAGGGAGGACACAGGGTCTCCCTGCACCACTTCCAGGATCCACAGAATGAAGGATAACAGGCATCAGGAAGGTGCCAGCTGACCATTGTTCTTTTGTCATCTAAAAGTGTATCTGAAAATCATGTGAAAGGGCATCTGGTGTGCCACAACAGCTGATTGTTCAGAAGCCTTTGCAGGTGCTTCACTAGAAGTGTAAAGGCTGGGATATAGCAGAGCAGAGTTTGTTTTAATCATTACATTATTTTTACCCTTTTAAGGTCAGGACGAGCAGGTACATTAAAAAGCATTACTAACCTCAGGGCTGTTATCTCCAGAGATGTACTCTGGATATTAGGGATATTATCTATTTAAAATGGAACTTGAGAGCAAATGACCATGAAATGTAATGTATTGATTGTAATGGGAGGGTTTTATTATAGGTTTTACACTGCTGATGGGTAATGAGCCTTTTTTTTTTCTTTCTTCCTTTTTTACAGAGGCTTAGTTCAGTGTCTTACAAGTCTCGAGAGGAAGATCCATCTCTTACAGAAGATGAGGTAGGTTTCTTGCATGAAATTCAATAACTAACTAAGGACCCTTTTTTAGGCAGAAATTAGCATAAGCTCTGCATGATTAAGCAGAATCTACGAAAGGTGAAATTTGTTTCAAGGGAAAATGAAAGCCCAAGATTCTCTGCACAGAGTTTGTATTGCCACATTCCTAAAGTCAGAAGTGTTCTCCTGTCTGTATCAGGCCAATAGGTTAAAAATGGTGTCAGAAAATAACAGGAGGCCACAATTAGTTGATCATTAGAGCAATTTCTTCATTTGGATGACAAGCTCTACTTAAGAATAATAACCAGCAGCCTTTTGAAATATATGCTCCACCTCCCCCAAGCAAAGGGCCTGGGACTCTCAGAAGTAAATGGAAGCACAATAAAAGCACTGGAACATAAACTGTTCTTTGAAATGTGAGTTGGTCAAATAAATTGAGGAGATTTAAACAAAGCCAGAAAAGTTAAACAGAAATAAGGTTGTTTGTGATCACCTCCAATACACCTGTGCCATTTGTAAGTACGTTCTTGGACATAAAAGTAAACACAAATTTGGCAATGAGCTGAATGAGGTAATGCTTTCTGCTGGGACTAGCACTCCCAGACATTAACGAATAAATTGATCCTTGAACTGCGTTCACATAATCCAATACTGAAAAGGGTTGAATTATTAGATGAGCTGAAAACCCATTTTTTGTTTGGTTGGCTGAAATCCGTAAGAAGTACTGCCATCTACAATTCAGTGTCTCTCTAAAAAAACCCAACCAAACAAAAAACAACCAACCAGACAAAAAACCCAACCAAAGAAACCAACCAAACAAACCAGAAAAACCATCCCAGAATTAACAGAAGTGGTCTGGTTCATCTGCATCAGTGTTGCTTAACCATAATGGACGTTTTCATGCCAATCTATTCTTTTAACTGGGTTGATGCAAATCCAGAGTGGCCTTGCATGCTTGGGAAAGACTTCAAATGTAAGAGAAGAGCTATGTTGCATTGTGATATTGGGTACCAGAGAAGCAGTGCAGGCAATATCAGACATCCTGTGCAAGAGTTAGTATCTACTTGGACTGGCAGAGGGAGTCAAGACTGATCCCTGTGCTTGGCACCAGCCCCAATAAGCCCTGAGCAGAGGAACATATGTAGATGTGGGTTTCTCCTTCCTCTCTTCATGAAGTGCCACCTTTGTGCACTTCTTGAAGTGTACCACCTCACTGGGGGGATTTTTAGAGCTAGGAGTGAGATGCTGGCTCCTCCCTTTCTTGTGTTTATAGCTGAGAGGTTTCATTCTCTAGCATAAAGATCTGTGCAGTGACTGAGATGTGGCTCCTCTTTGTAGGCAGAGTGTAGTCAACAGAGCAGACATTTTTTATGTTGTCTTCACATGACTTGGTGCCTCCTTAGTCCTGCCTATAAACACAACAATTAACTGCCCTCCTTTTGGGCTGTCTGTAAAAGCAGAAAAGTAGACACTACCATTAAAAATAATAACAAAAAAAAAATTTAAAAGCCCCAAGGATCAGAGAGCATCCTTCTCCTACATTACATCAATTCAACCTGATAATCCCTTTGATGTCTGTCTCCCTGTTGAGTCCAAATTGGCTCCAGGACCACAGCAAAATCTGCAAGAGCTCCTGCTCACAAAGCCATTCCCATTTACCCAGGTCTGATTTGCCTGCCAGGGATTTATGTTCAAGGAGTTTTTACATTTATAAACTTACTTTATAAAGCCTTCCTTTTTTGAAAGAAAATCAATTTATAAATGCATGCCAGAAAAGAAGGGGTAATTTATTTTTTATAAGAAAAACCCATACCCTTTTACAAAAGGATATGTTTTTTTTAGAAGATCCTGTCTTTTCTTAAGTAACCAACATCCTTGTTGTACAAGTGTACAGACTGATGCACAAGCTTTATGCCATGCTTGGATACTCAGCAGGTGTCTCCTTTTCCTAGATCTCCGCCATGTACTCGTCAGTGAGTAAGCCGGGACAGGCCATCAAGGCACTGGATTCTCCTTACACCTGTATTCAAGAAATTGCATCTCAGAGGTCCCCGTCTATTTGCAGTGGCCTCTATGCAAGTGTGAAAGACTTTGAAAACACCCTAAATTCTACCACTGTGCCTCAGTCAGCAGACAGACCAAACGGGGAGCTGGAGCCGGACTATGAAGCTATCCAGTCAGTGAGCCAAGAAGAAGACAGGACCTTGTCTGTGCCTAACACAAACCACACTGCTCTTTCAGGAGAGAATGACTATGAGAGCATAGGGGACTTGCAGCACCACAGGGAATTCACCAGACTTTAACTGCTCCGGCAGCTGATTTCTCTGCTGGTATTTTCAAACGAACAAGCGAGACATGGAAGTGCTTCTCCTTTTGAGGAACAAAGCTAAGTACAGAACACAAGTTGAGAAGAGGCAATGTATGTTTCAGCCAGGGTGTGATACCTGCTAGGTTAATTTGGATGGTGGACTGAGGCTTATGGCAAAGGGTACATCAGGTCAGAACGGATGACCAGGACAATGTAAAGGTTTCTTTATTGCTAGCTCGGAGGCAACCAGAATTTGGGAAGAAGTGAGTGCCATGCTTAGTGTCCCAATAGGATTACATACCAAAAAGACTGCCTTTACACAAAGCTAACTTCTCATTTTGAGAGATTATTTTCTTCAGAGTGTTTATCAAGCATCATTTTTCATTCCAGTTTGGGCATCCACAATGCTGAGCAAATCACGGATCATTGTCCCTCAACTCAGACTTGCTTTGCAGGGCTGGGGAAGGCACGCTCACTTCTGTGTTTTTTGCAGAGCTCTGTCCACATTCATTGCAACTAAAGTGCAAACAACAGTGCTTCACAAGGGACCTACTCCAGATGTACTTGAATTAATTCTGTTGGCTTTTTCTTTCTTTTGTTTTTTAATGTCAAGGGTTGTAGAATGTGACCTGCAGTATTTGAGACGTGTACTGGTATTTGTAGGGGTTTTGTTTGATTATTTGTGAAATACCACTTTAAAATGGCAACTGTCACCCTTAGTGTTCTTGCACCATTTCCCTTACGTGAAGATAAATACCTACCCACGCACACTCCAGACAACTGTCATGTTGCAAAAAGTCATGCAAATAATGTTTAGTCTAACCTTAATAGTGTTGAGTCCTTTTTTTAAGATTTTTGCCCTTTTTTAAGACTTAAAATATTTTAATATCTTTGTGTAGTTTATTATATAGGAAAATTTATGTACTGTGTTGAGTGGATAATATTTTTATTTTTTACAACATATTTTTCATCTTCAAAGTTTTTGTAGATAACTTACTGGCTTTTGTAATAGGAAGAATCCCATTCTTTGTTTGGGCTTTATTTGGTTTTTGTTAATTTTTTTTTCCTATTTCAGAAGTAGGTAAATGAACAGTTGCTTTGGGGCTGTTTTGTTGGCTTTTTTTGTCTCCTTAAGCAGGGATGTGAAACCTGCCTTGCTGTTTTTAAGCTCAAAATCATGGAGTCTATGTAAAAGAACACGGCCAAAGGGCAAAAAAAGAGGCAGAAGAGACAGTAGGATTTAGTCAGGGATAGCCACTAGTCCTCCTTGTTCTTCTGCTGAAAGGAGCAGGAGGGCAACCAAGACCTTCTTGGTTTGCAAGCCACTGGCTTTTTTAAAGATGCCAAGTTATTCTGTTACTATGAAAGACAAAGTACAGTGCTTGAATGAAATAAGTAGGTACTGGATCGGTACGTATTTTTTCTCAAGAGTGGTACAATAAATGGTACGAGAACAGTCCAGCAGTAGAGAACTGGCATTGTGTGATATGCATGTGTACGTGTGTGCACATATCCCCATGTATATAAACATACACTTGGAATTTGGACACAAGTATAAATTATGGTCCAAGCTTGGTAACATTCACATATGTAATATATGGCATGTGCTTGAAGAGCAGGGGTTTTTTTATTCAAAATAAACAGTACATAAACTGAGGTTGGCTTATTCCATAGTAGCCAAAGCAGGTTTAGTTTCAGCTCAGTTGTCACTGGGTTTTGATACACCAGATTGAGTCCTTCTCGGATCACTGGCCAGTGCTCAACATTACTTGGTACTATAAAGAGCAAACACAGATCAAAGAAGTGTGCTGATTTATGGGCCTTGCCTGTAAATACAGCTCTGAGGAGCAGTGCAAGTGCGAAGTCAAACTCTGTCCATGGGGTGAGTCAAACTTCATGAATTCTGACCTTGTGCAATAGTGCAACACACTTGATCTATGACTCTCTTCCCCGGAGGAGAAGTCAAAGTGGTTCAGACCAGTCTACATCCATCTTGGTTTTGGCCATGCTGCCATGTTTTGACAGCTGCAGCAAACCCTTTGCTTCCACTTCACTGCAGTGCTCTTTAAAGCTGACTTTGCTCTTCCTTTCTGGAGTTTTTACCTTTATAAAAGTTTCTGTTCCCTTGAATGTGAATTCATGAAGTTCACCTTTGACTGTTCGCTCCTTTTAGATCACACTATTTAAGGCCAAAGATAAGGTGCACCACATTTCAGAAGATCTGCTGTGCTAAGTCTGAAGAATTTCTGAAGTCTTTAATTATGCATGTGCTCAGGGGTACTGGTTTATATATGTAGCCCTCAGTATGACTCCTGCAGCTTAGTGGCAGGCATACCTCAACTCCTGAAATTCCCAAATAGATAAGATGAAGTCATCCCTTTACGTGGATGACTGCTTTTGGAGAAACACTAGGAACATGAGATTTGCCAGGTTCTTCAGTTTCAATTTCAAGACCAATTCAAAGACAGAGATAATAGCAAAGAATAACACCAAACTCTTGATTGTAAAATTTGAAGGTGCTAAAGAAGAAAAGCAAACACCACTCTAGAAGTGCCCCCACCAAGATCAGCAAGTCAAAGGGTGGTGGAGGACTTTGTGGTCTTTCACAGCTGGATCAAGAATGTTGGTTTGGAGGAAAGGACACAAGACTCAACTCCTTCCTTCCTTTCTTTCCTCTGTTCTGACAGCTGCACCTTGAGACCCCCAGACTTCCCTTTTTCACAGTGAAATCCCTCCACCTCTCTTCTTTCTTTGGTTTCTATTTTTAACCTGTGTCATACAGCCTCACACTGGGAGCTGGTACTGTGCCTGCACTTCTGTGGTGCTGGCATGTTCCTTCCTGTTTAAATGACTTTCAGGGTGGTGTTGACAGCCTTTTAATTGTCAGCCAGACCCTCAGCCTCATGGAGAAGCAGCTCAAATTTCGGATTGCTGCTTGTGGGATGTGTACCTGCCTTCAGCCTTGAGACACACACACACACATTGGACTTGAGAACTGCAAAAAATAATTACCCTCCTGAACAGCCATGAACAGGGGAGTCCGTAACTCCCCTAAAATCTCCATTATGTAGTCTAATGCTCAAGAAAAATATTTTATAACTCAGTCCAAGGTTCTTAAGTGAATAATTACATCTCTTGACAAAGAATCAAGCTTCTGTTTTAGTTCCCTCTTCCCAGAAGTAAGATCTGTTCCTTTATGACTGTTGCCAATGCTTCATTTTCACTAATATATCAGATAGAATGATTTTTCCAATAGTAATTCCCAAACAGATTAATTTGATTGTGAAGAAAAAGGAGTCTATTCTACTAGTCCCTTTATTGCTATTTTTTCCTCTTTCACCATATCCCTAAATAAAATGTCAACATCCAAAATGAAGTATTTGTTACCTGGATCTTTTCTGGGGAAGCTTCACAGTCTATTTCTTTGTTTCCACTTTTTGGCATAACTATATTATAAGATCTCACATCAAATTGCCACATTAGGGCCAAGAGATGCTTTAATGTGTGTACAGCTGCACTAATGAAAAGGTCTTTTTGATTTTCCTCTGGGAACTGGTAGAAATAGGAAATGCAGTTCAGACATCTCTTCCATGAATCTGTGTCTCCTGTGGGAGTTGTTCTTACCACATACTTAAACCAGTACTAACCCCATACATAAACCAGTCATTCCTTTCTACTATGAGTGTAGAATTACTTTCTCAGTCACAGAGAGAAATAGATTCTTTGCAGATACCTGTAGCACAGGCATGTACCTAATTACCACACTTAAATCAGTTATAGTGCCTTTTTTACAAAGTAGCTAGTACTTCCATACTCTTTTCCATACTGTGTATCTTTAACTCAAAAGTACAAAGGGACAATCCCAACATTTACTTGTCTAGGTTGGAAACATCTTTATAGAGACACATTTAATGTTCTGGAACCCAGTTGGCCGTACAATAGCAATAGTAGCTCGCAAACATCCTCTAAAAAGCCCAGTAATGTAGCTACGATGACTAAGCTTTGCAATAAGAATTATCAGTCTTCTTTTGAAGAACCTAAGTTTTTCAATAGTGAGCATTCAGGGAGGTGGTGTCCATGTCAACTGTGAACAGTTAGTTGCTTCAGTCTGTCTAGTAATATGTATGGCAGGCTTGCTTACATGTAGCAGGATTCATGGGGTGAGGGATGAGCACGTGTGGGGATTCATATTCATGAGTCACCCAGAGTTGGACCATCTCCACAGTCGCAACTGGCTGATGACCAGCTGCCTTGTTCATCTATTGTGCCTTCAGGGAATCCATCATGCAGGGATTCTTCTGGGCTGTGTGCTTCTCCATGGCTCCCTGAGCAGCTCCTGTCTGCAGTTCTGATCACAATTCTGTATACGCGGTGCTCTCTGTTCAACCTTTCAATGGTGCTTTTATAAGATGCTGGATTAATGGTTTCCATGTGCTTTCTGAAAGCTGATGTGTAAAGCTGTGGCACAGAGTGCTCTCTCTGGTATTGTCTGCTTCCTAGAACTTAGCATTAGCTGTTGTACTCTGACTACAAAAGCTGACAGTGCTGCCCTGTCTCTTGTTCATCCCACACAGCCAGAGTGGGGTCACCACCTGTAACAAGCCTGCCTTGGTTTGGCCATGGGTGTTTTAAAAGCAACCATTCAGGCCAGGTGACCTGGCTTGGAAGCAGCCAGAGACATGACTCTCATCTCTGCACTGTGGGATGGAACATCACAGAGCCCACCTCAAGGACTTTTTTCTGTCTCCTACTGAGCATATACATTTGTTTGCAATGTGACTGTAAGAAATCTGTTTTGGCAACAAACATTTTAATTTGGGCCACAGTCTAATGAGGGACTTTTGCTGTTAGGAAAATAACCAGTTATTTCAGATGAGTGTTATTTATTTAAGTTGGAACTTGCCTGGATAAGGGTGTTATGTGCTTCACAAGTAACTTGGTGTGTGTAGTCTACTGCAAAACAGAAGAATGCAGAAAGATGCTCAGCCTGACGGATGCTCACGTGGTGATGTGCTGAAGACTTTCAAGGGCAGGTCTCTTCCTGGGAGCAGGGAACATAATTACTATTTATATGATTTCCTACCCTGTTGCTGAAGCTGATTTGTAGCATCTCCTCTGGGACGGTCATGGCTGAAGACATTGCCAGAGCAGATTTTAGCATCAGGGAAAAAAAAGAAATATATATATATACACATATATATAAAATAAATATCCCTTGCTGGGTAGCAAAATATGTTCAGGATTGAGGTAAAGATAAATGCTACAAATGGAACATCACAGTGATAAAAACACAGGGTTCCCTTTCTTCAAGGAGGAAGAACCCCTTCTGACTGGGCCAAAAGATCCCAGGCTTACAAAAAGTATTAAACAAATTAATTGCCAATGTGGTAATTTTCCAGGAGTGCATTAGGACATCACATACACTAGACACTGTTCTTTTCTTCTGGACAGCAGAAAGTTGAGAGCTTATTTATAATACAAGGTTTCTGTTGATTAATAACTTACTTTATATACAATCCAAAGGTCAGAAAGAGGGTCTACACAATATAGATATATTTAAGCTAACTCTAAATGATCCAGCTCAGGTGTTGTAAGCAGAATCACTAGAACAATTTAATGCTTCACTTGGTCTGACCTGCTCACATAGCTTACTCCAGCACCCCAATTTCCATAGCAAATGCTTGGATTATTTTGGCATTACAAACCATTGACCTGTGCTTGGTCTTTAGATAATACAAATCTTACAGTTCTGTTTTTTCAAGCTCCGAGATTTTGTTTTTGGAGTATAAAACTTCAGTTTTAAACTGGCCACGTCACTACAAACATGATAGCAAAGTGCCTAGAAATACAAATATCTCTGTAAAGGTAAACATGTTCACTGTTATTGCACAGCTACCTGATTACTGTATGTGGTACAATGCCAAGCACATTCCTAAATGCTAGCTGTCATTTGTGGTGTTTATTTATTGTTATAATGGCACAGTCTGACAAGGGTTTTTTCTCTGCGAATTCATTGGCTAATTTTAATTAGCATATGTTTGTACAGAAAATATAAACCGAGATTTTGGTTAGTTTAGAAAGAAACTGTGTTATTTCTTATGATAATGCAACGATCAGCTTAGATTATTTATGAAGTATGTAAGTATCACTTGACTTCAGAATGCTTCATTTGAGATTTCAGAATGCCTCCTGTTCAGTGCAAGACAACGTAATCAACTCTTGTCCTTTTAATCTTGTAATATTGGGCAGGGGGTTTTAAATGTTACAAATATTATTACTCAAAAAAAGACAGTGCTGATGTTTTGAATTCCTAATGTCTACAAAGACTCATATTTTAACTTCCAGCATAGGTTGGATTTGGACTACCCTCTTTTTTATGGAACTGCTCTTCCCCCCCACATTCAGGTGTCACCACTTCTGTCCTTAGTGAAATATGACAGCTGTACAGAGGGCACAGAAACTGCATCACATAGCAGTTCTGAATGGGACATTTCTAATGTACCCATGAGATTTAAGAGCCTGGACTTCAGTCAGATGTTTTGGGGAAATGGCATCCAGTTTGAAGGATATCTGTGGAGGTCTTCACTTTCTTTCAAGGCAAGAAGTCCTGTATCTCGCAAGCACTCACCTGACATTCAAAGATGTATGTAAAATGTGAATTGTCACAATGTTTAAATGTATTATTAAAAAAACACCTAAGAGCACAACCTTCTTTCTCACATGTCTGAGGATACTGGAATTTGGTCTTTATATCTGAGACTGTTTGAGAACGATAACATAAAAAGTCTCCCCAAAACATCCTACCAGCAGACAAGTCTTTGAAAGAGCATCTGGGTCCCACTGGTGGCTCCTGAGTTTCTGCACGTACTACCTTCATTATTTCCAGCAGGGCCTATCTCATCTCTGTGGCAATGACTACTTAGGAATGGCCCTTTGCTTCACAGTCCTGACCCTTTAACTTAGGAAAGGGGATGTGAGCTGCTCCTCCTCAGGAAAGTGTGCTAAGAGCCTGCAGACCCAGAAAAGAGCATTCACTGTCAGGGCAAGACAGGTACAGCCCACTGCAGCAGTTAGGAAGAGAGAGGTAAAGGAACAAAAACTAACTTTTTTTTGCACTTCACCCATCTCACAGATCCCCTGTTTAGAAATATTTTTATAGTAGAAGAGATTATAATTAAGGGATAAGTTGCCGAGAATCTCACAGGAGACAGATGGAATTGTTTACTCTTCTCAGTATTCCCTATACCCAGAGAGGCAGGGGCAAGTCCTCTTTGCCCAAGTGTGATGCAGTTGGATCATCTTTTATCAAGCCCCTGTATCAACAGAACTGAAATGAATACATAAATTCTAAATACATGGTTTTTTTCAATCATAAACCCAACATGGACAAATGTAGATGCACTAATGTTAAGAGCCATATGTAGATCTGAACTTGCACAGATGGGGGGGGTTTAGTAAAAAAACCACAACCAACTAAACAAACAAACAAAAACAACCCAAAGAAACAAAAAACCAACCCTAACTGGATTACTTTATTTAAATGGCATTATTTGCACTGAGCTGAGGATGCAGGATTGGGCCCTAAGACTGAGTTTAGAAGAAGTTTGGTTTGGTGCTAGGTATTTTTGTTTGTGTTTTCAGTGAAATATATTTTCTATTATACTTGGTAATTGATATGAGTTTCATAAGAAAAACAAAGAATAGTCTGGTATATGGATAATTATGCCTAGTAGCTAATTGTTAAATCATGCCTCAATAAGAGTCACTTAAAATTGGGTGCTATAGGAGTTTCAGCATAAAATTGCTTTACAAATGGAACATTGCATACTTAGAACATAGTGAATAAGTATTTGTAATTACAAACACTTTCATTTATTTTATCCATTGTTTTATAATGGAAAAAATATGTATTACTGGAATATTTCCCAGCAATGTTCTCTTACAAAATGTTCTAGCAACAAAATGTGTTTTCTGGACAACCATTTGAGTCTCTGGTCACTGACACAGAACTGCAAAACATCCCCAAACCACTATGAGCTTGTGCAAAGAGAGGATTAGAACTGTCTCTGCCTATCTTAGAGCGGATACAGTTAAATATACTGTGAAGTTCAGATCTGTAGGCAGTGAGACCAGTTCAGTGCTTAAATGACTATGCTGTATAAAGCTGGAGTCAATGCATGCAGACTTCTGAGATGGCAGTATCTAAGGCTTGTTTGCTACATGAAAGGTTATTTGGCTTGCTACCTGTTTGAAACCAACACAGTTTTATCAACACCACTGCAGACACTGAAATACTGTAGTTTTGTAGAATGTATGTTCCATAAATTGTAGCTTGACTGTAATTGCAGGGCTTATCCTACTGTTAGAGCAGTTCGGATCCAACACTAAGTTGCATTTTGTAAATTAACAAATGCCATTAAATTCCTCTCAACACTTTGTAATAATATATAGGAGTTGATGTAATTTAGTCATGCCTTTATTCCAGGAATCTTCATCGGATGTTTCTAGCCAATTCAGCTTTTGGCTGCTGAAAGCACAGTAGGCAATTATGGTTATTTACTGTAAATGTAGACTAGTTTTATGTAAATATTTCAAGGGTAAAAATGCTACATGAACATATGAGGCAGTTACCTAAAACTAAGAACACAGGTCAATAATATAAAATACAGGTTTTATTTATGTACACTAGTATCCTAATATCTACTTGTTTATATGCAGAAAAAAATTGTAAGATTCTGTACTGTACTTTTAAGAGAGGCTCTGCCATTTTCTCTGGTAATGTATTTGCAAATAACTTTTGAATTTAGTGGAAATCCATGTAAATTATGTCAAATGGGAAACATGTTACATTGCAATGAAATGAGTTTAATTCAAAAATCCTGGCAACATTTATTGGATTGAAATCTATATATAAATTCTATAGCCAGACAGAATAAACCACAATAAATAAGCTTTGTCTTTCGTTTAATGTTTGTTTGGGTTTTTTTTCCCTGAGACTCTTTTTGTTGTTTTCTTAACAAATATTTTATTCAGTCCTTGTAGTCATTCCTTCCTGCAGGTCTTAAAATCTGCATTATTTGATAGAATTTTATTTGCTCTGGGCATTTTGTGTTGATCTCATTATCTGACAAGAAATATTAAGCCTTCTTTGTACTATATAGCAGCCTACTCTTCCCAAAGCCACAATCCCATCAAGATTCAAGCATGCACATAAAAAGCACCAATTTTATGTTGTTTCTAGACTAAAGCAGGAACTTCCATGAATATTGTGACACTATGCTCTTTAATGCAGGTAAGAATATTGAGTCTGAGCCTTTGAAAGTTGTGTAGCTTTCAGTATTTTTAAAGGGTTGCAATTACCAGCCTTATGGATTATCTTCTGAAATTGCTGTGGCATTTGATTCCTTTTCTTTGCTAAAGAAGCTCTCTAGGTAACGTTCCCCAGCCATTTGCTGCACTGCTCTGTCAATAGCAAGACATTCATTTGTGTAGAAATACTTTAAGAGCATCCTGAAGCATTTCAGAGGCAGCTGACTTAGTGCCACAGCTGAATATGTAACACAGATTCTGCATGTAAATCTAACACAGAGAAATTGCATCTTTTAAATGTGTCACTGGAAGAAAGCTGCTGTACTCTAGAGCATGAGGCTGAAATAGTCCTTAGCTTGCTGGGATTTGCATTCTCCATGCTTTGCACCCTCCTCCTCATTATCTTTAATTACATGTAAGAAAAGAGCAGCTTTACCCATTTAATACTAGGTAGTTACTGATGAACAGGATCCTGGAAAATTCACAGTGCACATAGGGATTTTTTATGCTGGGCTGAGAGGCTGAAGAAATTAGACAGGCAAATAGTATCTGTTCACTGTCAAAGTGATGGCTCTTTAATGTTTAATCTGGGTAAGTGTATTTTAATGCGCAAAGATATAATGTTACAGGTCAAATAGAGGACTTGTAAAAATAAGGAATATTTTATGTGAAAAATCATTCAAGATCTCAAAAGTGTAAAAGAAGATTGCTTTTTATTGAACCGTTGTTCATGGACCAAGAAACTGCAAAATACGTAATTCAGTATAAATTTTTTATTAAGTAACTACTGAATATTACCCAATACAGGCTGTTCTTCTGAAAAATGCATGCATTATTATTGTCAAGAGAACTGTATCACAGATACCTTTTTTTTTTCAGTTTGTCATTCTGAACAGTTGCTATCAGGCATAAAATAGATCTATTACAATGGTTAGCTTCAGGTTTTATGCCAACCATGCAGAACTATAAATGTGGCTGGTTGAAATATTGAACAATTTGCCCAGGTTCTGGCTAATCGCGCAGCTGCTTGCACACACTTGGGAATAGGAAGTGCAAGCACTTTCTCTCCACTGATCTCCACTGATCTTTGACATCACTTAAAAGTAAAGCTTTAACCTAATGGGAGCTCGGTATGGAATCAGGAGTATGCTGCAGTGACACCTGGTGTTTAAAATAGAATCATTCCCTGTGAAGTGTGGCTGACAATTTACTTTTAATTGGGTTCCTACTCACTCAGAGACTCACAGTTCACCCTCTGTTCATGAAGCATAGCATTATATAGAACTAGAAAGCATTGGAGCTAAAGAGTGGTTTGACATCACTTGGTAGCAAATGTGTCTGACAGATTTGTTTCAAAAGCCAAAAACTGCAGTGACATGATCTTCTAGCACTCTAGCTGGCACGATACTTTAGCGCTACTTCTTCTCAGTTGGTTATTACATAAATGAGATTGACCCTTCATATAACTCACACAACTGGAATTTCTGTGCAGCCTTTGTGGAAGGACTGATAGGCAAGAACAGAGAACTGCCAGTTCAGGCAGAGAACAGGGATCCTGTGTTTGTCGTGGTGCTAAAAAGCATATTAGAGCTACAATAGATATTTCTGAAATGGTTCCTGCTAAAGAGTTCACTGACCAAAGTAGTCAAGATCTGCATATTTACAGCTGTGACTGAAGTGGAATGTAAATCCCATCAGCAGTTAATGTAATTAAGGATTTTTAGGATAGGGTAACATAATAATAGCAAGGAACATTATTATTAAATATTTCAGTTTGCCACAAGATGAACAAGAAATAAGGCAGATCTTGTCGCAATCTCTATAATTAGACTGCTGGACTATTTCTATCATGCAAAAGTTTTGTGTGACCTGTTTTGAGAAGCACATATGTGCCCCATATTTATGTAGTTAATCTTTGAAATCTGGCAAGGGCAAAAGTCTAATGCTAGCATTGTGTTTTTTCTTTGTCTCATAAAATTCTGTTGAGGGTTTAGCTGAACTACAAAAGATTGCCCTAAAAGTCACTGTTTTCTTTCCTGAATTTTTCTGGGAAATTATAGGAGCCTGCAAAAACAAACGAAAAACAACCTCCTGAACTTGAACTTTCTTAGGCTGCACTTGTGTCTCAAGTCAACCGGTAGAGCGCCAAGACTTGTCCAAAAGATACTTGAAGGTTGGCACTCAAACTAGTGTTAAGACATCTTTCTATTTTCTCACCTGCAGCTTATTCTCAGCAGCAAAGTACAAAGAAAAACCAAAAGGATCTGGGCAAAATCTGTCTGGATGGGATCTGAAGGGAGCAAACAGCTGCTGCAACAAGTAATGTAATGATTCTTATAACCCAGCAGTAGAACCAGCATTGTGCTGTTTCTGGGTTAGAGGGCTGAGGCTGTCACAGGTGGGAGGAGAGAGGCACCAATACCTAGTTCCTTGGGTACTCCTTTAGGTTATTTTGGAAGATAGTAACATTTGCTTTCTGACAGTTTTCATGCACCTCTCCAAGTCACCATGATCATTCAAAGATAGCCAAAACGCAATGACATCAGCAAGCTCCCTCAGTGCTTTTGCGTGCATCCCATTGGGGCCCATGGACTCACATATGTCCAGTTAAGTATTCTCCAACCTGAGCTTCTTCCACTGAGGTTATTTCTTCCTTGCTTCAAACTTTCCCTCTGTCTCTATGTCCTTGTACTGCTGAAGGCTGGTCTTTCTTTTAAAGACTGAGGTGAAGAAGGCATTCAGTACCTCAGCCTTTTCCATGTCCTTTGTCACCAGGACCCCTGCCACCCTCAGTAACAGCAGGCCCACATTTTCCCTTTTGCCACTGATATAATTACAGAAGCCCTTCTTGTTGACACTCCTTACCAGATTTAATTCCAGTTGGTCTTTGGCTTTCCTAAATGTGTCTCTACATGCTTGGACAGTGTCACTATATTCCTCACAGGCTTCCTGTCCCTGCTTTCACCTTTGTGTGTTTGAGTTTTCCATGAGCTCTCTTCTAATCCATGCAGGCCTCCTGGCATTTTTCCCTGAGTTCCTGCTCCTTAGGATGGACCCCTGTTGTCCTTGGAGGAGGTGAATCCTGAATATCAATCAGCTATCTTAGATCCCTCCAGGGCCTTGTCCCATTGGACTCTTTTAAAAAGGAGATCCCATCCAGCCACCTCACTCACCAAATTAAGGGATTCTTCTTGAAAAGTAGTACTGTGCCCTTATTTTCAATTACTTTGTCTTTAATTGCTTGATCAGGTGTGGGGTTTTTTCCCTACAGAAACTGTGTCAGTGAGGTTTAAGCATCAAAAAAAAAAGCACAAAGTTGTATGAAGTATGTGAGTGCTCTCAAATATATCTGGTGCCTAGTGAGCCTCCCAACCCAAACACAGCCCACTTTTGCAGCCCATGCTACCAGAAGATACCGTCAACTCTGTCATATGGGGTAACATCCCCTGAGCTGCCTCAGCGCAGCTCCAGCCTTGGTCCTGCAGGTCCAGCACCAAGGCCCAGCTGAGACTCCACAGAGGGAGGCTCACCAAGCTCGTGCAGATGGGACTGGGAGGTCTCTGCACCAGCACTACAAACTTTGTTGGCCACAAACTATCTAAGTAAGAGAGATAAATATGTAGGTTTATTTGTTTAAATACATGTATGCCTGTGTGTCGAGAGGAGAAGAGAGAGAATCAAGGTTTGGTATCATGTAACTTCCCTTTTCAAAGCTCTTCTAATGCACTTTTCCACTTGGAATTTTCTGAGCAATGGCCTATAGTGAAAACTGGCTGGAATCTCAGACTAGCTTGAAAACAGAGGAAAAGCCTCTCATCCTGAGGAAGTTTTCAGGTTGTTTGTGGTCAGTGAGGTTCACAGAAGAAGAGAGTTTGGAAGCAGAGAACTCTACCACCGGAAATGTGTGAGCTGAAGACAAGAGCACTATGAGGTGCTACAGCAACAGCAGCCCCAGTCATGAAGGGAAGATGGTCTGGTGGTTATCCTGCACCTTTCAGGCACATATATGAAAAAATTAAGACCAAAATTACTATCCTGGTGCCTGAGTTGGCTGTACAGGCATGTTCTTAATAAATTAATTTTAGGTTAATCTAAAAAAAAACGCTTCAAAATACTAATTGTTCCTTTTTGGACCCAAGCCAAGCAACTTTCCATTTGCTTTAAAAAAAAAACAAAAACAACCCTTTTAACACAAAATTAAGAGGTGAGTGCCTGGGACCCTTGCACCACTAATGGAATTAGGTAACTCCAACGGAGTCTCAAACAGACAATGGACTGAGAACGAACTGCTTAAGGGAGTCAGTGAGGAACACAGATGACAATATTAAGGTTTGCCAGCCCAGCCTAGGATGGGCAGGTACTTCCTGGCATTCATCTTTCACAGACACAAACCATTCCAGTTTGTTCTGACAGCTTGTGTCTTGAAACCTGTGTGTTGGTTCAGATGATGACAACTGCTATTTGTAGCATGAAAAAATTAGCCTGAAGAAATACTAAGCACATGTTCTCTTCTGGAGAAGTGCAAGTATGAACTCATTCAGAGACTAAGCAACCATGACTGCATCCGTATGGGGAGCACATGTCCTTTCAGTTAAAAACATCTCTGTGCACCATTGCCCTCTTGGCAAATCTGCATAAATCCAATGCTTTAAAGTACAT